AGAAAAGGTCAATATTGCCACTATAGTCATATTATTAGATAATATTCATCCTAAAAAAATTATCAGATAATTTTAAATTGAAATTATCTTAATGATTAGCTTAAGAATTATGAAGCAGTTCATTCTATAAAAGACTGGGATGATTTCAAGAGGTAATTTTAATTGATTGATTAATTATTTGATATATATTTGAAATAATTTTTTTTAAAAGGATAAATTATTATTCATATTTTTAGACGTGTTGGACCTGGTAAATTATTGTCATAATAATAATTATAGTAGTATAATAATTGTTTAGTTAAAATAAAACAAATTATTTTTTTAATGAATATAGATCGACGCTTATTTGCATTTTTTTTTCGTGGAATGCCTCATGAACCACTTGTATTTATAAATGTGGCATTAAAAAATGAACTTTCAAATAACATTCAGGTAAGAATAAAATTATCATAATACATACATATACATACACAGATAAAATCTCTCATCACACATATATATAAATAGGAAATATTGGAAGAACCAGAGTCAGATCTGATGTCATCATCATATTTTCATGAAATAAAACATGCAATATTTTATTCTATCACCAGCCAACCAGGCCTGTCTGGTATAGAATTGGGCAATTTTTTAATTAAAAGAGTTGTTCGAGTATTACATAGTGAGTTTCCAAGTATAGAAACCTTTTCAACATTAAGCCCCATACCTAGATTTCGTAAATGGTTAATTACAAGAATTAATATAGAAAAAAATGGTATATTTATTAATAATGAGGAAGGTCAAATTAAATTTTTAAAAGTTTCTTTGAAGCAAAATGATTCATCACCATTGAATATTAACAAAGAAGTGTCAGAAAAGTTTAAAGAAATTCTTAGTACAAGAGATTGGATCAATGATGAAAAAATTTTCTTTGTACTCAAACCAATATTATTAAGGTTATGCGCAAGGTATAATAATTTATGGGTTTGTAGGTCATGAGCTATGGGTTGTGGATTGTAAATATATGTTATATTAATATTTACATGAGTAATTATTTATATATTCACATACTAATAATTTCATTTGTAAAGATATATTCTTACAGAAAAACATAGGACTTTTGCACTTGATCCTGTTGGTAAGCAATAGTTTTGTATTTAGAAAAATCTTGATGATAACCAATTAGACAAAAGCAATTGCTTAAAATTCAATACTTTGTAATATTACAATAATTAGCCAATTTCCATATACGTAATGGTGCTTGTGTTCATCGTTTGAATTGGCTTGGAGATGTTTCAGGTAGATTTTTACATTTTTTTTAGTAATGAATTGTTAGGTTTGGATAATTATTCCTTCAATGAACTCACATTAATATAAATATATGCATATTATGTAGAGAAAGGACTCAATGAATCATTTGGAATGATGATAAATTATAATTATTTTCTTGATTATATTGAAACTAACAATCAAAAGTACATGTCAAAAGGAACTATCACATTGTTAGATGAAGATCCTGTTTTAGTTCAAGAAGCAAAAAGAGAAAATTCCAATATTCATTTAATTAAACCAGGAGAAATTTGAAATTTATTTTTTAAATAATAATAAAATTTTTTTGAAATTTATTTATTTTATATATTTATAAAATGTATGTACATATTTACATATATACATTAATAATAAAAGATATTATATTTAAAGGCAATTAACTAATTGATGTTTTTTTTTAAGTAGCTAATCATTAACTAGTTAAATTCTTCTGACCGGAGGAAACTTCCATTGTATCTTGTATATTGGAAGTGTAAGAAGAGTGGAATTTTTTCAGTACACAGGATTTGTTTTGATGGAGAGGATATTAGAGGCACCATCAATTGCAAGACAGAAGCATTTGTATCTCTGGGTTTAATTGTGTAGCCACCACAATTGAAGAAAATACATGCAGGGTTGACACATTCTACTGCCTGTATATATTGATGGTCTTACTCTTTTCTTCAATGATACACCAAGAACAAACTAACCATGCTTGTTGAAAACAATACAAACAAGTTTGTGAAGATTTATCAATATTCGTTGACCATGCACACAGGACAATATCTCATATTCTATTATGCATTTTTGCCACTGTTTATACCCATTTCCTATGGATTCAATAAACATTAACTGGATGGATACTTTTCAAGATCTCAGGCCTTCAATAAGATGTATGCATTTAGATGAAAGATGTGATGGAGATGGAGATTACATCCATTACAGGAGAAATAGTTGACATTTCATCCTTTCACTAAAAAAAATAATTTTATGGCAGATATATATAGCAATTGATAAAAAGTATGAAAAAATACCTTTTTTCTTGTATGTTCCTCAATATACCTCCTCTCAGTTTGCCCAACTTGGCCCAGACAGAGAGATTTATTGTAATTTATTGGAAACTCAGATATTCTTGAGCTTGGTTGGAGAAGCATGAGCATTATCAACATTGCACATTGAATGTGCAGTTTTGAGTAAGTTTTCCTTTCTGGCAAGATCCTAGCTTATCTTACATTTTCCAGTGATTATCCTTCAAACAATTTTCACATTGCTCGATGCTTCTCCTAGTATGATTGATAATAAGTGCTGTGACCTTGATATCAAGAAATTTGGTAACAGTGACAAGTTCTAAAATTGCTTCAGTTTTTCAAAAGTGCCTAGTACTTATTAATATGTGCCTGAATTTCATTATTGAGATAGCATAATCCTGAATTCAACATAACAATTTACTCTTTAAATATAAAAAAATTACCAATAGGGCTTGAGAACAAGTTTCAACTTGATAAACCAATCGAATAATAACTAAAACCATTCACTGGCAGTTCTTTATCCAATCTGATCTACCAAGTTAGTTATCTATCATGGTTAATAAGTTCATATATTTCACATGTATTTTACAACAAAAATATTACATTTATCACCAATCAATTATTTATTAAACTGTTAATAAATCAGTTTATTAAGAATGAAAAAAAACAACTTATAAACAAAATCATATAAATCTTCACCAAACTATCTTATACACAGGGAATCCTGATTTAGTGGACCTCAATTTAGCAGATACTAATTAAAAATCTTGGTTTTACAGATAAAGTTCAAAAAACAGTTACATAATAAACCTTAATAAAAACCTTCTTGATATAGTGGATATCTTGGTTTAATGGATTCTTGGATTTTTGGAAAATTTTCCCTAATTGCCCAAATTATCTGCTAAATCAGGATTCACTGTGTAAATGAATTGTTTTATATAAATTCACAATTACTACTTTTTATTCTTTATGATATTTTCCAACATCTCACTATTTTTTCATCACATATTTTTCAGCTTAAAAATTATCCATTTTTACCTCCCATATAAAATTTAATATAAATAAATATATATATATATATATATATATTAAAAAAATGCTTATTATTAGCATTAATTAACTAATGATGGATGATATTTGTAAGTTCAAAGTTGATATTACAGATTTTTATTGATAGCCACCAATATATACAATATTTATAAGCAAAAAAAATGTTTAAATTTTTTTGTTGTGATATAAATTTTAATATTACCACCAATTAATTAAAGATTATTACTATTTTTAATAGCAAAAAAAAAAAATAAAAGGAAATGTAAGGTGATAATAAACTAAGATAAGAATTGTGTGTATGTATAAATTAATTTTTTTTTTGTTTTAATCATCATTGATTTAGTGAAATATTAATGAATGAATTGATTAATTATTTGTAAATTTATTTCTTTTTTTTGGCCTAGATGATGATGATTGTTGCACACCATAATTGGTTGACTCAGTTTTGTATAACACATCATTTGATGCTAATGGTTTTGATGAAGTAGACGAAGATGAAGTGACTATGTATTCAGATTCCATACCATCAACAAATCTTTTTAAAGTGTCATAAACTTTATTATTAAATCGAATGTCATCATGTTTCTGACGGACATGTTTTTTCATGGCTAACAGACGACTTTGATAATGGGAGATTAATAGACCAGGATATTTTGCAATCATATAAGTTAGGAACACAAATTCCACAGGAGCCAATCGATTATCTTTATGAAATACATCAGAATTATCAGCTATCATTGCTTCAAGTGTTTGATAAATTCTTTCTGCAATGATTTTTAAATTTGAGGGTACTTGACGTTCTTCCTTTAAGAATTTGGTTATGACAGCAGGTGTTGCATTGAATTTTTCAGGTTCATTCTCAATCATATGTAATGATTGTGTTATCAATTGGAATGGCCTAGCACGTTTAGTATCCATTATAAGTGAAATACTAGGATATTTGCTGAAAATGGAGTGAGCAAAATCAGCCATTGGACTACTGATTGCTTGTAATTTTTCAGCTGGTGTTAATGCAACACCCAATTGGACACGACTAAAAATTTCCTGTTCTTGCTGTAATGAAAGGTCATAATACTCAACTACAAAATAAGACAATGTTAGATGGTAATGATTTTAGAAGACATATATGAAATAATTATAATTATATAGTCATATAACCATAAAATTACCACAAAGCAATTCAGAACAGTCAAATAACTCTCGTTCTGGTTCTGACAATGTCTTTTTGCCATTGACATTTTTATAGTACCTTTTAGCTACATTGCCATCAGAAGGGCTTACGTGGGGAATTTCACCTTCCATAAATCTATTATTTATGAATATATATGTGAAATAAAGGGATAGATGTGTAGTTTTAGTGAACATAGCAAGTTGTCAAAGATTGATAATTAACTAATAATTGATTCACTAAATGATCACTACTTACTTTTTGATGGCAGTTAACCTTTGCTTCCCATCTATGCATACTCTGATCCATCTTTTGTTATCTAATTTTTTACAAGAAAAAATTACTGGTGGAACATAAAAGTTGTTAAGAACAGAATCTACTAGATGAGATTGTTTAATTGCTACCAAAAAATAATTTTATTTATTAGATATTATAACCAATATCAACGGATAATATTGTATTAATTAAATAATAGTTACATGTCCATACAACATCTATGTGGGTGTAAGAAATTAATAATAAGGAAAAAATTTTTTTAATTTATTATATATATTGTTTAGTAAACTATAATATATATACATTTATACATATATTAATAATGGTATAAAAGGCTCTTTTGGCTAACAGACGACTTTGATAATGGGAGATTAATAGACCAGGATATTTTGCAATCATATAAGTTAGGAACACAAATTCCACAGGAGCCAATCGATTATCTTTATGAAATACATCAGAATTATCAGCTATCATTGCTTCAAGTGTTTGATAAATTCTTTCTGCAATGATTTTTAAATTTGAGGGTACTTGACGTTCTTCCTTTAAGAATTTGGTTATGACAGCAGGTGTTGCATTGAATTTTTCAGGTTCATTCTCAATCATATGTAATGATTGTGTTATCAATTGGAATGGCCTAGCACGTTTAGTATCCATTATAAGTGAAATACTAGGATATTTGCTGAAAATGGAGTGAGCAAAATCAGCCATTGGACTACTGATTGCTTGTAATTTTTCAGCTGGTGTTAATGCAACACCCAATTGGACACGACTAAAAATTTCCTGTTCTTGCTGTAATGAAAGGTCATAATACTCAACTACAAAATAAGACAATGTTAGATGGTAATGATTTTAGAAGACATATATGAAATAATTATAATTATATAGTCATATAACCATAAAATTACCACAAAGCAATTCAGAACAGTCAAATAACTCTCGTTCTGGTTCTGACAATGTCTTTTTGCCATTGACATTTTTATAGTACCTTTTAGCTACATTGCCATCAGAAGGGCTTACGTGGGGAATTTCACCTTCCATAAATCTATTATTTATGAATATATATGTGAAATAAAGGGATAGATGTGTAGTTTTAGTGAACATAGCAAGTTGTCAAAGATTGATAATTAACTAATAATTGATTCACTAAATGATCACTACTTACTTTTTGATGGCAGTTAACCTTTGCTTCCCATCTATGCATACTCTGATCCATCTTTTGTTATCTAATTTTTTACAAGAAAAAATTACTGGTGGAACATAAAAGTTGTTAAGAACAGAATCTACTAGATGAGATTGTTTAATTGCTACCAAAAAATAATTTTATTTATTAGATATTATAACCAATATCAACGGATAATATTGTATTAATTAAATAATAGTTACATGTCCATACAACATCTATGTGGCGCAGGAAATTAATAATAAGGAAAATTTATTATATATATTGTTTCTTTGATATTTAGTAAAATATAATATATATACATTTATACATGTATTAATAATAGTATAAAAGGCTCTTTTACCTCTTTGGAATTCAGGATTAAGGTCAATTATTCCCATTTGCAACCAGTTGTATAATTTATATAAAGTATGGGTAACATTCCTTGGTTTAGTAAGTGCTTCTTCCATGGTTGTGAAAAGTATAAGTTTATGGTATAAAAGAGAGAAAGAGAAGGAATTTTTGTGAAAAAAAAATTTTATTTATTTATTTATTATATTATATATTTATAAAAAAATATTATTTTTTATAAATAAAAAATTTAAAATTTGAAAAAAAAATATTTAATAAAAATTTTCTAAAAAAAAAAAAGGATGAAAAAAAAAAGAATTTGAATAGAATTTATATACAAATTATTAATGATTCAGTATATTAGCCAAATTTGATATATCTTATTTAATTGAATTATTTGGATTGATTATATATTTATTTTGGTAATCAATAAAGGTTTTACCTATTTTAAACCATTCAAAACTCCGAAACTCCGAATAAATATCCATAATGAGTTTGTTTGTTATTATTTATAATAACCCAAACCAATTGTGCAACATCAAATTCATAAATGAATTGGTTACCTATTTCATAAAATTAAATTAAAATAACAAAATGAAATTATTTTATAAAATTGTATATATTTATTTTTGCTTTAAAGCTTAGTAGCAACAATAATAAACACCTAAATAACAATAGATAAAAAAATTGGTTTTTATTGTTTTTTTTTCTTGTCAAATATACCCAAAATTTATTTAATAAAATAAAATAAAACACTTTATTCTATCCTTTCTTTTTATATATATATATTTTTTGTTATTTAGAATTTTCTTTTTTTTAAAAAAAATAAAATCCCACTATATATTAGTATAAATATATAATTAACAACCATAACTGCCCCATTGCAACCACAACCACAACACAACCACAACCACAACACAAACATAACCACAGCACAACCACAACCAATCACACACATTAATACCATATTCACAAACTACCATCAACTAAACTACCATTTAAAAACAAACTAAACAATAATCTCAACCACTATAACTTATTTAACATAATCAATTAATAACCAAAATTAATGATTCTACTCTAGAAATTAGAAAATGTATATTTGATTGAACAAGAAGAAGAACAAAACATTTCAAGTAATGTCATTAATGAGGAGGCCCCGTAGACAATCTTGAAGAATGTAATGAAGAATATAAGAATATTCAAATAATTATTATTACCATTAGAAGAGGTGACAACAATTGACCAAGAAATAAAAGAAAACCAAAATTTATTTCAATGAATTATAAAGAAATAACCAAAGAAGTTTCAACTGTCAAAGAAAAAGAAACTGGAATGCAGAAAGAATTCATCTTATTGATTGAAGATTTGATTAATTAGATGAATTCTTGATTTAATAAAATTTTGAATTATTAAAACCAATTGTTGATATCAATGAATTTATTATTGATTTAGATTTAATAAATCCTTTAGATGAATCGTTATCAAAATTAGAAAATGAATTAATAATTAAACAAACTGATGAATTTAATAGATTAACTAATAATAATAATAATAATAATAATAATAATAATAATAATAATAATAATAATAATAAAGATCATGATATTTTAAAATCTTTAAACTTATTATGGGAAAGTTTTAAAAGTTTACTAAAATTATCAAAATCAAAATTACAGGAAATTAAATTGGACTTATAATTTATTACAGAAAATACAAGGAATTAGTATTGAAATTGAAAATGTTGAAGTAATGTTAGAAGGTGTTGAAGAATCAAGGAAAAAAACTCATGATGAATCATCAACTTTTGTAATGCAAATAATAATGGTGGTATATTAACATCTTCGCCTAATTCAAGTACAGCAAATTTCAACAATAACAATAACAACAGTAATGATACTTCTAACACTAACCCTACTGCCACATCATTACACAACACTCCTGTAATAACTAATGCAGCAAGTAAAACTTCATTGACATCTTCTGCATCATCATCATCTTCCATGATTGCTGGTGAAGGAATAACTGTCACCAGTATTGTATTCTCTTCTTCCCCGTTATATGAATGGTCACAAAAGTAGTTGCTGCTGATAAATTATTCAAGCATGAAGTATACGAACAAGTTAAAGAACTAATAAATTTCTATCAACATGAAGAAATTCAGGGCTCTGATAAACAAATATTGAAAATCTGATCCAAAATTGTTGCCAAATAATTTATGGAATATTTTACAATTTGAAAACGAATGCTTAAAAGATTTGGAATGTAAATCAAATGATCTCTATTCAATAATCCTAAATCATCAACCCCCTCCAACTCTCCCGATCAGCCTCCCCTATTGCTACCAACACCACTACCACCACCACCTCATCAGTATCATCAACCAACTCCTCAATCATCATTTAAAATTCTCAAGAAGATTTATTAGTAATAGAATTGATGGAAAAGCAATTAAAAAATCTAAAGGAAAAATTAACAAAATTAAAAAAAATTCATTGATAATATATTATTGCAAACTAATGTTGAAAGCTTTTTAATGATAATCAATATTTTGGAAAATTTACAAAATTTATGTAATGAAATAACTCAAATTCATAAATCAATCATTGAACATAATGATGCTAACATGGTAAAGATGATGTTATAAATGTTGAAAAAAAAAATAAAAAATTTTGGAAAGCAATTACCTCATAAAACAGAATCATCAGAAAATTCTAATGATAATAATTAATAACAATAATACATCAACTACGACTGCTACCACCACAACAGCTAAAAAAAACTAATACTACTTCACCTGGTTTAGTAAAGGCTTTAAAAAATAAACATAAGAAGTTATTATTAACTATACAAAATATTAAGATTGCTTTGGCTGAAAACAAATTACAAATGGCTGCCTTCATCACCTTCATCACCTACTTTTGCCAATTCTGAATTTGATTAATTAGCTAACATAATTGAACAAAAATTAGAAAATTTATATACAAGATTATCTTCTCCAATATACATGTTAGGCTGTAACACAAATAATAGTGGTATTGACAATGATACTGATTGTGATGGTACTGATAATAAAAGTAATGAAGAAGGAACAGAAGAGGCGGAGCCTGAACAAGTTCATGTTTTGACATGAAATGATGATCATGTTGAAGAGTGGAGCAAACATTATAACAAGATAGAATCTGAATTGATTCTGTTTGAGAGAAGTTTATGGGTAAAATTCTGGTTGAAGTCTGAATGATTACGTGGTGAAGAGGTGATTGGTCAAATTAATAAGTCAGAGAAAACATTTGCTGATATTAAAGATTTGATGATTTTGCACCAAAATAATCTACAAATGATTAGAGAAGGCAAAAGTGCTAACGCAATCAGAGATAAACTTGATATCATAAAGGGTAAGATGAGATGTCAAGGTACCAAGACTGATGCTTCAATACAAGAATTAGATGCTCATATGGCTGATTCTTTGAAAAGGTTAAATAATTTTGAATCAGATTATCAACATTTGATAGCTTGGATTAAAGAAATAAAAATTTGGTTTAAAGAGGCTGAATGTAATGTATGCATGTATTAGAAAATTCTCCAAAGTTCGACACTCTTCAAGAAGGTAAAGTATGTGCTACTCAAGAACAAGTTGATTAATGGCAAGATGATTTTGATAAATTGGAATTAGAAGTTGAAAAATTTGATGCTGAAGGTATGACTGGATTAAGAGCTTGTGTCAAATCCATCATGTGTGCTAACACCTCCTCCAATCCTAGCACCAATACTAACAGCAGTAATGGTAGTAGTAACAGAAATAATAACACTAATTCTCAGATTAATGAAGCAATGTCACCTGCTGATACAATGACAATTGCAATTATTTTACAAACAATTAAACAACTTGATATTTTATTGGGATTATTGAAATGAAGATCAAATGATTTAACTGCGTTGGCCCTTAGAGTAGATTGGGAATGTGAATTTGCTAAAGCTTTAAATACATGGAATATATTGATATAACAGCATTAAAGATTTTATTATAAATAGAGGTAGATGGGAACAACCAATTGGTATAAGAGATGATGATGGATGGTTCATTAATGCTAATCAACCAAACCAGAAAGATGTGTTAATTGAATTAGAATCAATAAATCAACATGTAATAAGTTTTGAAAATGACAACGTACCTGAACTGGACAAATATTTGATGAATTAGTGGAGACCTCATTAGTGGAGATGCCTGAACATCTACTTATATGACAAGAAAATCTTGAAGAAAATGACCTGGCATTTTTAAAATTATATTTTGATTTTTGTAGAAATTTTTTGCTGCAACATTAAGAAATTTTAGAGTATACTCAAGTCAGCAAAACTACTTATATTGATGTTTTGAAATTAAAAAATGAATTAATAGAAATCCAAGAGGTGGTCTCATAGAAAAGAAATTCATAATAAGAGTTGAGGAATTTAATAAACATATTGAACAAGCTTGGAGTAATATTGGAGAAAAAGTCATCTACCCAGATCACTCAGATCATGATCAAAATGAAAATCATTTGGTCAAGAAAGGTGTTTATGCTTATCATCGTAAAATGGAAGGCTTGAAGTTCAAAGTTAACAAAGCAATGAAAGATTATCAAGATGCTCTTAGACTACTTGAGAAGGAATTACAGCAAAAATCAGATGACTTGTTTAATGATACTTTTAACCAGAACAAAAGGCCTATACTGATGTCTATGAGCGAGTTAAGAATTTAGCAAATGATTTAGTAAACCAAATGAAGAAAGAGATTGCTGCTAACAACGACAACAATTGTGATGAAGATATTGATCTTGGTGTTGAAGCATTAAATTCTAAAGGAATGGAAATTGATGCTTTATTACAATTAGTTGATTTCAAAGAGAGAATCAAAGAAAACTTCTCCAAGGTTGAAAACTTATCTGATATAATATCATCTTTGTTGGTGGATGAGGTGAGCGAGGATGGCATCAAAGGTTGGCAAACTGTATGGGTTGGGTGGTTTTATAATATAATATATCCATATTTATTTTTTTGGGCATTTGCATAATCACGGACTTTATTTTTAAAAAAATACATATTCATTATCATATAACATTACCATATATACAGAGGGTGATCACGGGTTTCCGAACGATTAAAAAACCGTTTACATTTATTTATTTATATTAATATTTTTTTTAAAATAAATGAAAATTTACTTGTTCCGAATATTTTTTACATGTTTTATTAAAAATTTAATATTTTGTTGCTCCACCTTCGGCTGCTATACACGCTTGGATTCG